AAGCTTTCATATGCACATGTACCCAAAGTGTTGTGACCAATCAAAACATTACCCCTAGTAGGTGAGAAAGCTATAAATATACTAAAGATCAAACACTTTTGAATGCTGTACATTTTGTGAATTTGTACTGTAAAACAATAAATAAAGAGATTGTAACATCAATCTGTATCATGGAGTGTATTTAACTGGCATTAAATCACCTAAACTACTGTATAAACCAAGCTTGTATTTAATTTATTTTGTTTTCTAAAATTAATGTACAGTGTATGTGACTGTATTATCTTGAAAAGAAGCCTATGGGCTTTTTTTTAGAAGGGCTTCTTTTCAAGGCTAATTTTGCAAACTAAAAATTGGGAGGGGGCTTCAATTCAAGATGGGCTCCATCTCGAGATTAAACCCAGTAGGCTTCAATTCAAGGACTTACAGTATGTTTATTATTACATTTTTTCTAGGAATTTCCGATGAGGATTATCGTCAGCTGTTGCATGACATATCAGAATGGTATGATGGAATTGGATCCATCAGTATGCTGAAAGTATTGTACAGAGATCATGTGACTGATGTTAATACACTAGATAAAGCCAATAAGATGCGTGACTTGCTGGACAACTTGCATGCTTCTGGGAATCTGAGTCAAACAGATCTTAGTATTCTGTATGATACCATAAATATAACTAAACAATTTGGATTCAAACCAAAGAATGAGGATCTGCTTCCACTTTTCCAGAATGTTAAGAATTTAACAGTATCAAAATTCACATCGTACAGGCAAAACCTGGTAAAACTAGGAATGACATTGAATGAAGAGGATGTAGCAACACTGAATGGTTCATTTAACACACTTCAAAAGAAATATGAAGACAGATGGCATTTGATTAGGGATCTAGAGCACAGAAGAGAAATTTGTGAAGAAAATATGAAAGCATTTATTGAAAGGTTGGAGAAACTCCAGCTCTTTTCAGCTGTAAAAGCTCTTTTAGAAGGTAAAATTAATCTGGAATGTATGACTTTATTAAACACTTTACAGACTAACAAACTTCATTGAAAATATTCGCAAGCTTTTGTTCATGCTGTGGACTTCTTCACACTTGTTTATTGACAGTTACTGTATATTTTATCTATTCCCAGATGCCCTACAAAATAATCTGAATTTGTTGTCTGATGTAAGATATTGCCGTTCTAGGCCTCTGTGGGTTATTTTTATTCCATCTGATGAGTATTTAAAAAAAAAAATAGAGAAATTTTTCACCCGCCCCTTTTTATCATTTTAAAAAAGAAGTTCAAACAAACCATTTATTTTTTTAGGCCTAATGTTTAGAACCTAGCTAGCTGATGCTTTGAGCCCAGGCAATGCCTAGAGCACATAATTTATGATGCTTAGACCCAGGTGATGCTTAGTCCTTAATTTAGATGAAATATTCAAAGTAAAAACACTCAACTATTATTCACTTTTTTACAGATGATGAACTCAAACCGACAGTATCTACAAGACAAGAGTTGATGTTGGAAGGTGACCAAGGTATGGTATAGTAATTTAACTGCAAATTAACCCCTATTATGGTGTAAATCTATTCTCACATTTTGTTAATCAATGTACTGTACTGCTGCTCTACCAATAAAACTGCAAAACTTAATGTCAGTAATTACAATAGACAAGCGCCCTCCTTGGGCATGAATGTCGCGACATGAACTCGTGTTTTCACATTTAACTGAACAAAATTATCTCAAAATCATATTGTATGAAAATCTTAAACCATTATTACTGTAGTATCACCATTAAATGTGCTGAAATAAAGGGAAAAAAACAGTGGCTTTTAATTATTGATTTAAACATCTTGAACTCATTTATTGAGACAAAGAAATTTACAAATGAAAAAATTAATGAGATTTCATCTAGTGTTGTAAGCAAGGATTTATTTGTTACTGTATATTGGACTCTAAAGATGGTTTTTATCATGTACCCGTAGCCAAAGACCATCAAAAAACAATATCAGTGGAAAAAACAATATTATTGTTGGACAAGGATTCCATGTGGTCTTGCATCACCATAATTGTTCAGGCCAGTTCTTACCAATGTGCATACACGTGGGATACGCACTGCGCTATTCGTTGATGATTGGTTTTTGGCAGCTGATCGCAAACGTCCAGTGCAGACGTATCCACAGCAGGTTGGGCATCGTGGGTAAAAGTCATGCAGCAGGCTTTTGGAACAAAAGACTAAAAAACATGCCTTCCAATTAAAAAAGAATTGAGCGCTGCGCTGATGGCACTTTTCTACAAAGGGAAATCATACATCAGTACATACATTCATAAATCTGCCAAAAATTTAACAGGACGAGAAAATGCGGAAGCCGACACTTTCAACATTGAACCTAAGATACGAATGGAGGCTACATACAATATTGTTCAATAGCTAGATGAAATGTGGCATCTGCATGCATATTCTTTCTGCAGTACACAGCAATGTAGATTTCTTTTAGCCAATCAGAACATAGGAAACCATGATGATGTGAACATGTAATCGTTCGCTCTGATTAAAAAAAAAAACAACTCCCAAGTCGAGTATGGATCCTTTTTGTGTGGGTGAGGATGATCAGTCCACAGTATCTAGTAGTATACTCTGTGCAATGACAAACAGGTATTGACCGTCTAAGAGAACCTAAGATTTATGATGTAGCCTACACAAACGAGAAACAAAACATCATCATCATCATTTTCACAAACTACTAGGCAAGCCTGTAGTCTAGGCTTAGCTAGTCTACTACTACTACCGTATTACGCTAGCCAGGGACTATGGCATGGAAAATCCTGGATCCGCGCCTGGCATGGCCTACTACTGTGTGAGATTATCATCATCCTTTGGTGGTACTGTACATTGATGAGCATGTGATTGATCAATTTGCCTCGTTAAAACAGCAGGTTCCCAGATCTGAGGGAGTCGACACACTAGTGCAGCAGAATTGGGGTACAGAAACAATAAACATTAACCACACCACTGTGCCCAGTAAACATGGTTTTAAACACTAAAACAACTATCAATTGCAAAACCGCTAGTTCTAACCAAATCGCAGCACGCAATGTGTTTAAGAGGGCCAATATCAGAGCTGGTAAACATCCTGAAATGGCAACTTAAATATATACAAAGATATTGAATGATTTTTTTGGAAAAAATATATAAGCTCATGACCACCCATCGTATTACTCTACAGTAATTCTCTTTTGAAAAATGTCTCAAGACAATATTAACTCCCTACAAAGGTTTTAAAGCATATTAGGTACCACCTCATTGATAGACATGAAAACCAAAGCTCCAAACAATTCATTCTTGTTTCTTTGTTCTTATTATTAGAATGAGTTGCCCCTTATCGTACATAAATCACCCTCACAAAAACATTTAAATGAATAATTGAAATTTTTTACAAAGGTTAAAAGGTTCTTAAAAAACATATTCAGTGAGTGTCCAGAGCTGATACAGTATAAGTATCTGAATGTTGATTTTGATTGTTTCTGTGTTGCTCATATATTACAGTAATTACTCTACAATATGTTGATGTTTTATTGTTGTCGAATGTGAAGCATTTTGTAAAAAGCATCATATAATAGAAATATAAAAAAACATAATATATAAGTCAATTATAGAATTTATATTTGGAATGAATGAAGATATTTTAATGACATAAAAATACTCTGCCATTGTTCTACCCTGTTTACGAGACAAAGTGTTTATATAACATTGAATTTCCTGTAAAAAACATGCTGCGAACAACTGGAAAATTTTAGTAGAACAGTACTGTACGTTGCATGTACGAAGTATTGTCATAGAGAATATGTCTTTGTTTTTGTAACCTACCGTACCATTCTCCTGGCAATGTGGTATTTGCATCATTTCGCTTGCAGCCTATTAAGAATTATTAATATTTTTCTCTTCTTCTAGATACCGTTATCAAAAATTATCTACTCGAAAGACAAAAGAATTTGTGCTGCCGTGTCAACCGGTTCACACCAGCTACTTTACGTACATTATACCAAGTAGATATTGCCAATATGTTTACTGATCTGGAACTACTGAAAAAAAATAAGAAAGAAGGCGAGCCAGTAACATTACAGGAGCTTTTAGATGTTATCAAATCCACACCATCATGTAGAACTCTTATAGAAGGTGAAGGTGGTATTGGCAAATCAACTCTTCTCAGGTACTTAGCATACAATTGGGCAAATGATTCAGATAAAACATTTGAAGGTAAAATTGTGTTTCTGATAAATGTCAGAGATATTGGCAAAGGTGAGGATATTTTTAATGTAATTTTGAAACAAAGTAATCTAAATGATTTTGAAATGAAAACTTATCTTCCGAAGGATCCAATGTTAATAAAAAGATTCATATTAAGACATGATGATGAGATTGTATTGTTGTTAGATGGATTGGACGAATTAGAAGATGGAAATGTATGTCCAATAAGCCTTTTTAAAAAAGAGGAATTGAAAGACAGCAATGTGATACTTACATCTCGATCAGAAAACATAAATGAATTTATTAAAGTGAGCAGTGTTCATGTGAAAGTAAAGGGGTTCAATGCTAAGAACATAAGAAAATATATTAAGAAACACTTTGATTACCTTGAAGAACCTGTGCTAGGAGATTCTCTTGCCAAAGAGTTGGACCTAACTAAGGAAATCTTTTTTTTAAAACATCTTGAAGTAAATTTAATGTGTAAGAATCCAATGTTACTACTCTCAGTATGTACTATGTGGGAAGACAAGCACAGTCTTCCAACTAATAAAGCTGATCTTTTTAAAGAGGTTTTTCGCAGCATTTTGAATCAGTTCAACAGACAAGAAGGCAATGCCCCAAAAATCACTAAATTCAGTGATACTCCCATTGAGTATGTACATGCAATGCTTATGTTAGGAAAGTGCATGTATAAAAGTTTAAAGGGAAACCAACTCTCGATAAACAGTAAAGATTTAGAAGGGAAAAAAGAAATGGTTCAACTGGCTTTAAAACTAGGATTTGTCTACCTAGATGAACCACATTCAAAAACTGATTTTGAACAATGTTTTACAGCTCCTCACAAGTTGATAGTAGAGTCATTGGTAGGATTTTACATTTCAAAACTATGTCAGACAGCAGGTTTAAAGAATAAGTGTGCAGAGGACCTAAAACATTTACTTGCTCCATTGGATGAGGATGAATGGGAGATTATAAGAGAAAGTGAATATTTACAAATGGCAAGAACATTTACAATAGAATTCCTTGGTGCTGATGTGGGAAAATTTTTTATTCACTGGTTGACAAAAGATCTCTCAACATATCGCTCACTAATGAAGAATTATTTAGGATCGGTGAAAGCAGAGCACCAGGTTTCTGTTGAAGAATCACTAATTGATCACATGACCAAGACACAATTAAAAATAAAACCACATGTCAATGGCATATGTAAATCACTTATGAGATATATTCATCATATTAATCCGTCTTTAGAGGTATTCGAAGATGAGCATTTTATTAAACTTACGAGAATAATTTATGACATAAAGCTAAGGCCATCAGTTACACCACCTCGTTTTAAAAGTTTATGTAACAAAATGTCACCTGAAGAAAAAGGCAAAATGCTCGCTCACATACTGTTTGCTATACAAGATGAAACTTATATGTTAGAAAATATTATCCCTGAATTGTGTGCTGATGACGATATTAAATACCTAACAGCTGAATATAAGAATCTTGATTTGCATTATGATATTAGTAGTTATAAAGCATTTCATAAAAGTTCAATTACTGCTATATTTTTAAATTATCTTTTGACCAATTCACCAAAACTAATAGAGTTGAGCTTAAACCTTTGTATTACAGGTGATATTATGAATGATATGATCAAAGAGCTTTCAGGTAGAGAGATCAAATTAGCATTACGGACTCTTTCTATCAATGATAATAATCTCAGTTCAATTAATGGTGCTTCACTGGTTTCTTTAATGTCAGTTACTCCACAACTGTTTATTCTTGAATTGAGCAACTGTAGTTTAACAGGAGATATTATGAATGATATGATCAGAGAGCTTTCAAGTAGAGGGATCAAGTTAGGATTAAAGTCTCTTAATATCGATGGTAATAATCTCAGTACAATTAATGGTGCTTCACTGGCTTCTTTAATTACACCAATACTACATATGCTTCACTTGAGTAACTGTAATTTAACAGGTGATATTATGAATGATATGATCAGAGAGCTTTCAAGTAGAGGGATCAAGTTAGGATTACAGTCTCTTTATATCGATGGTAATAATCTCAGTACAATTAATGGTGCTTCACTGGCTTCTTTAATTACACCAATACTAGATAGGCTTCACTTGAGTAACTGTAATTTAACAGGTGATATTATGAATGATATGATCAGAGAGCTTTCAAGTAGAGGGATCAAGTTAAAATTAATGTTTCTTTATCTTGATTGTAATAATCTCAGTACAATTAATGGTGCTTCACTGGCTTCTTTAATGTCAGTTACTCCACAAATGTATAAACTTAATTTGAGCAACTGTAGTTTAACAGGTGATATTATGAATGATATGATCAGAGAGCTTTCAAGTAGAGGGATCAAGTTAGCATTAAAGACTCTTTCTACCGATAGTAATAATCTCAGTACAATTAATTGTGCTTCACTGGCTTCTTTAATGTCAGTTACTCCACAAATGAATAACCTTAATTTGAGCAACTGTAGTTTAACAGGAGATATTATGAATGATATGATCAGAGAGCTTTCAGGTAGAGAGATCAAGTTAGTATTGCAGTCTCTTTATATCAATGATAATAATCTCAGTACAATTAATGGTGCTTCATTGGCTTCTTTAATTACACCAATAATAGATGGGCTTCACTTGAGTAACTGTAATTTAACAGGTGATATTATGAATGATATTATCAGAGAGCTTTCAAGTAGAGGGATCAAGTTAGAATTACTGTTTCTTTATCTTGATGGTAATAATCTCGGTAGAATTAATGGTGCTTCACTGGCTTCTTTATTGTCAATTTCTCCACAACTGGGTAAGCTTGCATTGAGCAACTGTAGTTTAACAGGTGATATTATGAATGATATGATCAGAGAGCTTTCAAGTGAAGGGGTCAAGTTAAGATTACAGTGTCTTTATATTGATGGTAATAATCTCAGTATGATTAATGGTACTTCACTGGCTTCTTTAATGTTAATTACTCCACAACTGGATGAGGTTAAATTGAGCAACTGTAGTTTAACAGGTGATATTATGAATGACATGATCAGAGAGCTTTCAAGTGAAGGGGTCAAGTTAAGATTACAGTGTCTTTATATTGATGGTAATAATCTCAGTATGATTAATGGTACTTCACTGGCTTCTTTAATGTTAATTACTCCACAACTGGATGAGGTTAAATTGAGCAACTGTAGTTTAACAGGTGATATTATGAATGATATGAGCAGAGAGCTTTCAGGTAAAGGGATCAAGTTAGCATTAAAATCTCTTTCTATCGATGGTAATAATCTCAGTACAATTAATGTTGCTTCACTGGCTTATTTAATGTCAGTTACTCCACTACTGAATAACATTAATTTGAGCAATTGTAGTTTAACAGGAGATATTATGAATGATATGATCAGAAAGCTTTCAGGTAGAGGGATCAAGTTAGCATTACAGACTCTTTCTATCGATGGTAATAATCTCAGTACAATTAATGGTGCTTCACTGGCTTCATTAATTACTCCAAAAATGATTCAACTTACATTGAGTAACTGTAGTTTAACAGACTATATTGTAAATGATATGATGAGAGAGCTTTCAAGTGAAGGTATTATGTTAGAATTAAAGTATATGTGTTTAAGTGGTAAAGTCTCAAAATGAGTAATGATGCTTTACTGGCTTCTTTAATGGCAATTTCTCTAAAATTTATTGAGCTTAAATTAAGCAACTGTAGTTGAACAGGAGAACCGGCTTATGATCAGAGAGCTTTCAAGTCTTAACATTATGATTAAAGTATAGTAAGCCACTATATAAATGACTAAATTAGATTAGACAATAATCTCAGTACATGTACGAATTAATGGTGCTTCATCGGCTCCTTTAATGGCAATTAGTCCAACACTGATTGAGCTTAAATTAAGCAACTATAGTTTTAATTTCAACAGGTAATATTATAAATGATGTGATCAGAAAGCTGGATGTCAAATTTCATTAAAATAAAAATTAAAAATAAGATAATCTCATTATGATTATTCGTACTTTACTGGCTTCCTTAATGACAATTACTTCAAAACTGATATAAGATATGAGTTTTAGCAGAGGTATCAAGTTAGAATTAAAGCGTCTTTGTTTCGATGATGATAATCTCAGGATGATTAATGATGCATCACTGGCTTCCTTAATAACAAATACTCCAAAACTGCATAAGCTTAAATTTAGCAACTGTAGTTTAATAGATGATATTATGAATAGTATGATCAGTGAGTTTCAAAGTAATAATATTTTATTCTGCAAAGTAAAAGTACAATCTTGCCAGGAAGATGGAAAATACAGAAAAGATCAAAATGCAACACTAGGCCATTATGCAATAACAACCTTTACAACAAGCAACTCAGTATATTTGAAAGTGATGATTGCTGGACACTGTATGTGATTCCATTCTGATATGATCTAATACAGGCAAAGTATTTTAGGCTTTAAGGGACATTCAACTATGACTTTGCCAGGCAAACATGTAGGTCAAATATTGTAGAGAAATGGATTTATGTTTTATTTTATAAACTTAAATATGTAAATCTGCTGAGAGATTTATGCAACTATTCAATGATAATTCTTCCTTTTCTACAACTGTACTCCTCCCATTTAAAAACAGTTAATTCCCACCAAACTGTTAGTTTTCAGCAAACAAAATTAAGAGCATATTTTGAAGTTGTGAGCCAGTTACCGTGGAAGATCCCTATGTCTGAGAGCTCTCTCTGGTCCAAGGACTCAACACCTTTCCTCAGATAAAAATATCTTGTGAACATTTTTACAATATCAGACTGTAAAATCAATTAGGGGCCTAAATAAGCATTCTAAATCTTTAAATTTTAAGAGCTTCTGCCTTAGATACAATATACTCGCATATAAGGGGACCTGGATATAAGACGACCCCTGAGTTTGAGAATAATTTTGGTCGATTTTTGTATATTGGGCATATAAGACCAATATAAAACTCAGTGTGTAAGCCTAATTGTACTTTCATCTGACGCAACCTCTTTTTTTACAAAATTAAGTGTCCTGACTTCAAGCAACAAACAAACCAGTCAACCTCATTGAAATGTCGTAGTAACCACCCTGTCTTTATTACAGTTTGCTGTACCATAGATTTGTCACATGCGCCATTTGCTTTACCATAGTTGTCCCTTTTATCAATTTATATACTGTATCTTTATTAACTTCAAACATAACTTGCACATTCAGCTTTGAAATATGGAACACTAAAATTATTTCATTTCGTACTGTAGTTAAGTATCAATAACTTAGGCCTATTTATCATGATTTGTTTCACCACATAAATAATAATCTTTTTCCTCCGAAACTTAGACTAAAATATACCGGGATGCGGTGTCCGACGGGGGATACTTTTACCTTTGTTGTACCATTGATTTGTCACGCGCACCATTTACCGTACCATAGTGGTCCCTTTTATCAATTTATTTACGGTATCTTTATTAACTTCAAACATAACTTGCACATTTAGTTTATTGAAATATGGAACAAATTTAAAATTATTTCATTTTGTACTGTAGTTAAGTATCAATAGCTTACAGTAGGCCTATTTATCATGATTTGATTCACCATGTCTTTCGCCCCTGAAACCTAGACTCAGAAATACCAGGATGCGGTGTCCGGCGGGAGATAGTTTTACCTTTATATAATTAGAATATTAGATTAATTCTAGTAAAACATACACTTGTACTACCAATCAGGCCCCGAAATACCAGATGGTGTCCGGCGAGGGATAGTTTTACCCCTACAATTTTCTTATTCTTAATGATTTAGTCTCTATAGAGGCTACAAAATTTCAACAAAGAAACCGTGACATATCTATTTTTCTGTGTGATTTGTCAAAACTAAGAGCTTGTCTGGGCCCCTTATAGGTGGATAGATATATCTTCCCTGTAAAATGTAACGTAATAAGGTAAATAAAAAAAAGTTTTAAAAAAAAAGTAATAAATAAAAATGATTAATGGTTGTAAATATTGTATAGGTGTCCTGTTGCTTTTGATATTAATAATAATGTAAATAATTATTTCACTATAAATAATACTTGAATTTGTCATTTATCTATTGTACAGTAGTTGCTACATTTCTGGTTAATTTTATTGAGGATGACATTTCTATCTGCAAGGTGTTCAGGAAATATATTATCTGTATTTATTTTAATCTTGTTTTATTTATATTTTCATATTTCCTTTGATAATAATAATGTAAATAATTTAATTTACTATAAAGTAATTGAATTGGTCATTTATCTAATGTACTTGAGACATTTCTGGTTATTTTTTTTGAGGATGACATATATATCTGAAAATTGTTAATGGAAATATATTTTATGTATTTATATTTAATCTTGTTTTATTTAGATTTTCGTATTGTTTTTGATAATAATGTAAATAATTTAATTCACTGTTAAGTACTTGAATTTGTCATTTATCTAATGTACAGTATTTGAGAAATTTCTGGTTAATTCTGTTTACGATAAAATTTGTATCTGCAAGTTGTTCGTGCAAATACATTTTATGTATTTATATTAATCTTATTTTTATTTATATTTTCATATTGTTTTATATAATAATAATGTAAATACTTTATTTCACTATAAATTACTTGAATTTGTCATTTATCTAATGTAGTTGAGATATTTCTTGTTAATTTTTAATTGAGAATGACATTTGTAACTGCAAGTTGTTCGTGGAATTATATTTTATGTATTCATATTAATCGTTTTTTTAATTATATTTTCATATGCTTTTAATAATAATAATAATGTAAATAATTAAATTCACTATAAAGTAATTGAATTGGTCATTTATCTAATGTACTTGAGACATTTCTGGTTAATTCTGTTGAGGATGACATTTGTATCTGCAAGTTGTTCATGGAAATATATTTTATGTATAATATTTATATTAATCTTGTTTATATTTTCATCTTGTTTTTGAAAATAATAATTTAATTTACTATAAAGTACTTGAATTTGTCATTTATCTAATCTAGTTGAGATAGAACTGGTTAATTCAGTTGAGAATGACATTTGTATCTGCAAGTTGTTTGTGGAAATTATGTATATACAGTATGTTAATTTATTATTTTATATATATTCATATTACTTGTAATATTAATAATAAAAATGTAAATAATTTAATTCACTATAAAGTACTTGAATTTGTCACTAATGCAGTTGAAACATTTCTGGTTAATTCTGTTGAGGATGGCATTATTTTTTCTGCAAGTTATTTGTGGAAATACATTTTATGTATTTACAGTATATTAATCTTATTTTATTTATATTGCTGTAATATTAGTAATAATGTAAATAATTTAATTCACTATAAAGTACTTGTATTGGTCATGTATCTAATGTAGTTGAGACGTTTCTGCTTAATGCTGTTTAGGATGGCATTTGTATCTGCAAGTTGTTCACTACCCCTTGAATTTCAAAATGACCCAGGTAATAACAATTTCAAATCATGATATAGATTAAAGTTTGTTTTTTTTTTAAATTCAAATTTGTCCTACAGTCTTTGCAATGTCTTTACATAGTTCATTATAGTTATTTGTGTGTTTTCAGTATGTTTCCAGGACCATTTGAAAAACAGTGCATAAACTCTATAACACCCTAATTGGCAAACAGCGGTCAGCGGGCCGCGATTTTTTTTTCCGTACGAAACATTTACATGAAACTCCACTCGGGCCGTCGGCTGAATCGCCCGAAAATCTCATTGCAGAATTCAGGAGGTCAAAAGGTCATCAACAGATAAACGTCTACAGAACAACTTCTGAGAGAACGTCTCTGTCTAATTTTTAAAAATACATTGATGTTACCATGTTAATACCAATGGGTCGTTTAAAATGACATATAATATTTGATTAAGCTGCACGAGTAATGAAAAGTGTTATTTTAACTTGAGTTACATACTATGACAATTTTAATTTCTTATTTAGGCCTGGGTTTTGCATAATTACCTAGGCCTACTAAAAACGCTTTCTGGGAAAAGCACAAAGAGTAAGGAAAAGCGCGTTTTTCTTCATCTAATCAAATGAAACAGAATGACAGTTATTTTCAAATTAAGAGAAGAGCTGAGAATAGGCAGCTCTAAAATACTGGATGCCATAAGACCTGCCAAAATGGCAAAACATCAAATGAATGTAAAAATGAGCTAGTTATTAATATTAGGCATAGTAATCGGAAGGTTCTTGATTACAAGGCTACACCAAGTTAATTACATGTAATGCCGAAATGATAATAATAATAATAATTTATTATTATTATTATTATTATTATTATTATTACTATATTACCTGTACGTTAAGGGGAACTTAGACAAAGGGGAAATATTTCCCTTGGGCCAGTTATTATTTATAGGCCTAGTAAATAGTATCTGTAGGTTCTTCATTTCAAGCCTTAGGCCAAGGTAATTAATGCTGAAATGATTATTATTATTATAATTATTATTATTATTATTATTATTATTATTATTAATTATTATTATTACCTGTACTTTAAGGGAAACTTAGACAATAGAGGAATTAGAGAACAATTAAAAAAACGACGTTAAAGGGAAATACCACAAAAGGTATTCCCCTTGGGCGATTATTATTTATAGGCCTAGTAA